AAAGAATTCAATTTGTTTTTACAAAATAACGCATATGTACATATCCCTAAAAAGTTTTCTTACTCCTCACATTAAATGTTTAATTAGGGGTAGTTTAGTCATAGTAGGTATTTTTGTTTAGAATTTAGTATTTTCTTAATGGGCGTGCTAAAAGCAAATTGGTAACTTATTGTGAACCGGAGGGAGTAGTTATTAAAAATTTGGTATTTTTCTCATATATATCTAAGTTCCATATAAAAAATGCTGGGTTTAGCTGCTATTAAGTCTTGTGTCTTACTCCGTCCTATTGAAGGTACCCAGCTGACTTATACAAAAGAGCAAAGGTCGACTCTGTGTTGGATTGGCATCACTCTAACTTGCGTCGTGGTGCAGGTGCTTATACCAGAGATTGAGATTATTTTGTTGCCAGTTGGTAATTTTTTACTTTGCCTTAGCCTTACCTGAGCTAATTTAACGAGGAGGCTGGTTTTTTCGAGCCAAAATGAGATTAATCGGGGAATTTTGTTTGCGTGATCACTTTGAAAGAAGAACAACTGGCTTTATAGTGCTTTTTACCAAGATTCTTGCTACTAACCTAATGTTAGACAGTTGCTGCAAGCCTGCAATTTTCGTGGACTATCTTAATAGTAGTTTCTTGTGATTGAAACAATTTACCTTTCTCAAACCTCTAATTGTGAGTCTATCCACTTAATCGTGGTGACTTTTGTATTCAACAATGGAGGTGCCTAAAACACTATGATTAAGTAGTCGTTTCCAAACGTTTTGTGATTACTACTTGTTGATATGCCACACTTTTAGCTGTTTCCTACAGTGTTCTGAAGCAGTGCTTATGTTTTCAGCTGTATATGTCTTTAGTACTGTTCTTGCTCCTGCATTTGGGTTGCCTTTGAATCAACAAGCAGCAGCAGAAGCTGAGAAAGTCCTCTTAGCATCTCTTGCAAAGATCGAGTCTGTTTGGCTCCAGAAAAAAGGACGGTTTTTGCTTGGGAGTGGCCAACCTTCAATTGCAGATCTTAGCTTAGTTTGTGAGATTATGCAACTTCAGGTATAGAGATTTTCCCTTTTCCTGCTGTTGCTTTACATCTGTTGATCCAAAGCATAAATCATCAAGAGGAGTTTAGGATGTTATTTGAGCTCTCTATAAGCAGATATTTTCAATAAACTATCATGTCGAAACTTGCCCCTGGAGGAAAATGATGCGTACATGCAAAACCATGACTTAGTTGTTTTTTCTCAAAATGTGGTTATTGACATTCAGAACTGTGTTAACTGTTGCTTTCCCCTCCATCAGCTTATACAAACTTCCATTTAAATTCAATAATAATGCACATGGTGGTATAAGTGTTACCCTTTTAAGTCTGTATTCTAAAAAACAAAGAGGTAATAATAATTCTATTTTCTTTAGATTGGGGTAAAGGGTTATAGTCTTATAGATACTGGTCATGGCCACCAATTTTTTCCTCCGCTCATCCTTTCCTTGGTTCTCTACTTGTTCTCTCACTTCCTCTATGAGTAGTTTCAGTCAACCAGTCGTTTTCATTTGAACAGGCAAAATCTTTTTATATAATGAAGTGTCTTATAGATGCTTCTGAATGGTCCTTACTAGTATAGCTGATGACAACATGATGATTTTCTCTAGGTTGTGGTTCTTAGGATGAAAATCTATCCACTCGAGTGGACTTGGAGAAAGTCCTTGTTCTCACATTTTGTGGAATCTTTTTTTTCTGCTGAGTTTAGGTTCTGGATGAGAAGGATCATAAGCGGATAATCGGCCCATACAAGAGAGTTTTGAAGTGGATTGATGACACAAAGAATGCCATGGAGCCTCATTTTGGAGAGGTACATTTAATCCTTTTCAAAGCTAAAGAGAAGTTCCAAAAGCAAAGAGATGCTGTAGGAAGTAGCATTCCTCAATCGAGCAGAAAACTTGATTTGCATTCAAAGATGTGAGACAGCAATTAGGAGCCAGGCGCTGCATTGTGCTCGCAGCATCACCGTGCAGCATGGCGGATAATGGGATAGCTATTTCCTAAACATTGTGTATGTGAAAGCTCACACAGGAAGGAGAATTCTGATCCAAGCTTTCCTGATTCATTTTCTTTATGTATTTGTCCTTATAAAATAACTGTACAATGTGATAATCATAGTCCACAAAATATGTAATCACTCAAGCTGAGAGTCCCTTAATCTTGGCTATACATCTGTTATTTCTTCACTGTATCAAATGTATG